AGAGACAGAAGCCCAATTTCAAGGCTTTAAATTATGAAGTAAATTTTCTTTAAGTCACATTTGATGTAAATAGCATTTGATAGCAACTGAAGGTAACACACATTTTGTGGTAAAATAGCACTATGTGGCTGGAAAACTCATAATACTGCCCCTTTAAATAAATTAGACCAAAGTTAAACATTTTTTAGAGTGAATTTTTGTGTATTTTAACTTTCTAAACCTTTTGTGGTGTTTTTAAAGAAACAAATCAGGAACTTGTATCACACATTAACTTGTAATGGTGATTCTTTTAATAGGACTGTTACGATCTGTGTTTTCTGTATAGTTATTTTGGGGTTATCTGTGTTTAGTCCTGTTTCCCTGAGTCTCTCTGTTGTCCTGTCAGCCCTTGATTGTTCCCAGGTGTGTCTCGTTCCCTTGATTACCCCGTGTGTATTTAAGTCCACCTGCTGTCTCTTGTCAGATCCTTGTCTAACATCTAATGTCAGTTGTCGGTAAATTTATTATAAAATAATTACTGATTTCACTTTAAAAATTAGGTAACTTTATGTTATTAAAGGTAAGGTTTAAACAGTAATGATTTCCTGGTTAATGTCAAGTTGTCATAACAAAGACATTTTGAATAATGTCAACTTTGTATTAAAAGTGTCATAATTTACCGAATGACGCTTTATGACAACAGTCATAAATATTCATGAAGGCTTATTCATGTTCATGACAGTGTCATGTCAGTCTTATTCACCCCCCTTCAAATAAAGTTTTACCATTACATTTTAGTTCCGGTTTTTAGCCGCAAATCAAAATGAAAGGACAGAAAGAGTTCAAACATGTGGCTCCAGGTCGAACTGGTGTTCTCTCAGAAATGATTCACCTCCCAGTTCTCCAAACAGAAACTGAAACTATGAAACCAACATTTTAACATCTTAAACCTGGACTTACCTGTTTTAGGAGCCGAAATGTCCTGAAATCCAACAGGGAACAGTTTTGTTCTTCTTTAGAAACGACTGTCTCTTGTTTCTGTCCTCCGTCTTTCACTGTGTTTTGGTATAAATATGAAACAGTCAGACGGTAAACAAGGCGGCCATCTTCCCATAACTGTTAACTAATCACGTTAAAAAATCTAGGAACTGCTCACAATATGGAGTATTTTAAATAATTTACTGATTTGTCTTAGTATTTTTAGTCCCACACAAAAAATTACCAAGTTTACAGTACTTATTATTAAGACTTGAATATTTTAACACCCGTTATGAGTTAAATATCAAAAAATTTTGTTTAAATCAAGTTAAAATTAAAAGCTTTTCCTTAAAAACAGATTTTTTTGGTTTCTTTATAGTTGGAAAACCACCAAAGTAGTAAGATCTGTCACAACAACATCAACTGGACTCTGAATTTCAACATTTTCACAGTTGTATTTTCACATAAACAACACATCACAGCCTGGACGTATCTGATCTGTCGTTGTTCTTTTAAAAGCAAGCGTAGCAGCTATCAGAAAAAAGATGCAGTCAGGGGAATCTCACCCGTATTCAGCTGACCCAAAATATAAGGGCTGGAACTGACACAGAGGATTTCGCAATAGATCTGCAGAGGCGACATCCATGACACTGCAGAGATAAGCATGGTTCACGTATGCTCTCCAATAGAGGCACTGATTACTTAAACCGAACTGTCAAAGGCAGAAACGTAGCAGAAAATAATGTGGAATGGACTGATTTTACATGCCCAGTGAAAAACAGGCAAACCGTTTTGAAACAAATATGTCTGATGACCTATCTATTTTATAATTTTATAAACAGAACATTGCTAAATAGCTTAGCATTTTCTAAAATGACCCCACTCTCACTAGTGAAGCATAAATTGTTATCTGGAGAATGATAACATCTAGCTTATCTTCATACAATTCCATTATTTTAGATTGTTGGCATACTTTTTACTCCTTATAGACATAACCAGTTAGCTTTAAATGAACTGTTGAATGGATTTTGTTCGCTAAGGCTAGGTTCTCTGTTAGGCTACTTAAAGTCGTTATCTTAAGCTAGGCTAACACTTATCTTTACTCATGTATGTGTTGTAAAATGATACACTTGTGGCTAGTGAAAGTCTTTATACAAAGCTAAGCTAACATTTATCATTTTTACAAATACATGTGGTAAAATGATACCACATTTATCAGCTAGCAAAAGTTTTTAAGCTAAGCTAACATTTGCTATTTTACCAAATGATCTTCAACAAAAGGGGAAAAACTTATATCAGTTTACTTGGGGATTATTAAAAATCATTTTGTTTTTCTGATTCATATGTAACGTTAGATATAGAAGAAGAGTGATGTAAATGTGGAGGGAAAAAATATCAGTTGCTAGAGATATTACTGTTAGCATTATTAGCCACTATAACTGGAGGGAAACAGCTAGCTTACAAAATGTCACAAAAAATCATTATTTTTATTTTTCTGACAACAAATTGGATATTGTGTGTTGTATTTGGTTAGAGTGAATTTTATTAGTTTGAGCCAGGACTGTTAGGCTAGGCTAAGTTTGTATGCCAAGCTAGGCGAAGCTAATACCATGATGGGTATTTTCTGATCATTTTTAATTTAGCTAAAACCTTGGTGAAGAAACAATATTTTCACTTTGTACAAATACAAATTGGACAATTTGTTCATTTTTAAATAATCTTTCTTTATTTAGCTTACATAACTAAAGACTACAGACTAAAAAAATAAAAGGCACTCATTTTGTGTCTGTAAGGTATCTTTTTATTAACAATAATATAAAAATAAGACAGATAAAACATTTAGCAGTCAGAATTAAAAATAAATTTGTGTTGAAAAGGTAAATTTACAAATGTATACTTTAATGAAATACAAGTAAAACCATAAAAGTATTTACAAAAATGAGTAAAAACAAACTGAAAACAGTAAAAGCATTGAAAAAAAGTCTTAAAAAGATGCTTTGTTTTCTTTTGCAATAATTGCAGTTTTGAAAAAACAATTGTCTATTTTAAGAGAAAATGCTTAATTTGCTCCTACAACTTATAGCTTTTAATACAAATAGATTCAAATAGTTTTAATGTTTTGTTTTCGTCGCTCTCACTTCGATCCTCCTCATTTACAAAACCGGTGGTGGAATGTAACAATTGAAGTTACAGAAACTTTCCATCTTTGGGGTTCCTGTGAAGTTAATAATAAATAAGATTATTAAATAAGATTACAAATAAGATTAAGATAAGACAATAATAGAGAGAGAAAGACAAAACATGTTTGTGCTCCACTCACTGTTTTTGTGTATTTTGCAGCAGAGGCAGAATTTCAGAGCCTGTTTTTTCATGTGATCAGTGGGAACGAGTGGCTTTGGGCATTTCTTTAGGTTGCGAGTTTGAACTATATTTGGAACACACACAATAAACATTTAAATGTTTTACAGCATTAATAAAAAATGGAACCAATACACAAAATTAAAAAAACAGATCCAACACAATAAAAACTTGAAAAACTGGTCCTAACTCACTTGTGCATCTGCATTTCTTTATGTCACGTAAAGTAAATCCAGTGGAACGAAATTCATCACAATGAGCTGCAAAAAAAATAAATTCATATGAAATACATGAAATAATTCAATGCACCTTCAGTAAAACAAACAAGAGTTATGAGATGTGCTTTTCTAAATACACAGAACAAAATGTAAAATAAATCAGCATTTTTTTTACCCGTCCTGTCGGAGAAGCAGTCAATCAGGACGACCAGCAGCAGAGCGGCTCCTACCAGCTTGGCCATGTTTTCTGTGTTTTCTGTGTTTTCACTCCAAAGTGTCTGAAAGTTTCTGCACAACCGCACCAACTCAGGCTGTTTTATACCAGAACACGTCCAGGTCCGTTTGCTCTCTCAGATCAAGTCCTGGCATGTTGGGAGAGGCAGGAGGGGGTCGAGTGTTAATCTCTAATCGCTATAACTAATAATTTATAGGTTATTTACCCTTAGACACAGGAGCAGACTGATGAAAATGTGGTGGGAAAAAGAGTGATGAGAGTTTCATTACTGAATGCTTTGGCATAATGTTAACTAAATACTTAAAAATGACTCCACTGTCAAAAATGCAGCATGAATCAATAGCTAGAGGTTAGCACTGTTAGCCACTATAGCCGAAGGGAACCAGCTAACTTACACAATATCATAAAAATATGACATATATTTAATTTTCTAACAACATATTTGTTATTCTGTGTTTTATTTGGTTAGTACTACAACAAATTTGACTGATTTTTGTTAGTTTGAACCAGCTAGTACTCTTAGGCTAGGTTAAATTTGTATGTTAAGCTAGGCAAAGTGTATACCATAATTTTTTCTAATAATTTAATTTAGTCAAAAATGAGTGGAAAAATTATATTTTCACTTCATAAAAATAGGTTTATGAGATGGTCTGTAATGTAAAATATGTTGTTGTTGGAGGAAATAAGTTATCCTATTAGTGTCAATAAACCAACAGGTAAAGATATTACCGTTAGCATTGTTAGCCACTATGACTGGAGGGAAACAGCCATCTAACAAAACATCCAAAAAATATATTATTTAAAATTTTCTTAAACCATAATTTTACTGTATGTTATATTTGGTTAGTATTGCATCAGATGTTGAGTGAATTTTATTAGCTCGAACCAGGCCTGTTAGGCTACGCTAAGTTTACATGCTAAGCTAAGTGAAGCTAATACCATAATGGTTCTTTTCTTATCCATTGATTTAGCAAGAAAAATTGTGGAGAAACGATATTTTCACTTTGTAATTTTAGAGTAAAGCTGTTATAGGACCATTAGCATTGTTAGCCACTATGACTGAAAGGAAACAGCTAGCTTACAAAATATCCTAAAGAAAGTATTATTTTAAATTTTCTGACACCTTATTTGTTTTTTTATGTTATATAACGTGTCCGATAGTTTCTGTTTGTCTTTCAGGTCAGTCCTGGCATGTTGGGAGAGGCAGGAGGAGGTCGGGGTGTTAATCTCTAATCTCTGCTTTGAATTATTTATAAAATTCAATCAAGATCTAAAAGGAAGCAGATCCTCCACCGTACTTCATGGTTGGTCTGATGTCTAGAGTTGCCTTTGAACCATAATTAATAGAACATTCACCAACATAACTGATGTTTAAAGATGTTTTTGATGATGGCACTCGATAAAATGTAATGTTTGTTCTCAAATGTTTTTAAGATTATGTTTTTGTGACGTTTTGTTTTCATGTTTTTATTATTTAAAGCATCTTGAACTGCCTTGTTGCTGAAATCTGCTACACAAATAAACTTGAATGGATTTTTCAGAAAGTCAAACTTAGTTTTGTGCAAAGCCCTTCTGCAATTTTTGTTTTGTTTTCTGCTGAAAAGCTCTACTTTAACTACATCATAAAGCCATGACAGAGTGTTAGAGCCATACCCAGAAAAAAATGTCAAAAACAGAATTTCAAGAATAAAGTTGAAATAATATGAAAATAAAGTCGTATTACGAGAATAAAGTCAGTATTATAACAATAGAATTGTAATATGAGAATAAAGTCATAACATTACGAGACAAAAGTCGTAGAAGAATAAAGTAGAAATATTTCTACGACTATTTTTACTATATTTTTGTAATTTTATTTCTTGGCTTTAAGATAAACAAAAGTTCATCTTCAGGCAATCACATGTTTCCTGTGTTTCCCATTTTGAAGAGTGATTAAAAGAAATTGTTCCGAGTGAAATGAATTGAGAAGATTCTAGAAATGCAGAATAATTTAACAAAAACATAAATTACATTAAAATTCAGTAAATGTGTAATTTTTCCTCCCCTACTGAGTGGATTAAGGGAGATATTTTATTTATTAATGTTTTGGATAAGATTATGCAAAAAATCCCCAGTTTTTATACATCTCTGAAACTTTATTGAAAGTTACACATCAGTAAATAAGAGAAGTACAAAGTTGATCAAAAAGAGAGCAGGACTTTAGTCAACAATCATTTTAAAAGTGCTTTAGAAATAAACTTTAACCTTGGATAGTTGGTAAACTGTTTATTACTTTTACATACACACATATTTTCCACTGATTTTGTACTTTTACCTTCAGGGAATGTAAAGTAAATGTTTTGAATCATCTAAGCTGGACTTCTTTGCAACAGCTAAGCTAACACTTCCAATAATTTCCCATAAACTTTGCATCTTTTGAATCTCTGGGATCCTAAATAACGTCTTAAATCTGCCACAACTTTCACCAGCTGAACAGAAACAAACCTGAAGTAATTTTATTTTATAGAGGAACGATCCAGAGTCGGCACATAGCTCCAGTTATTTCAGGTAGAAACCAGAGATCAGGCCTGAAATCTGAACTTAGTGATGGACTGAACATTCAGAGACACATAAAGATGGTTGCAAAGTCAGTCTTTTATCACCTGGAGAACATTTCCAGGATTTAAAGACTTTAAAATATTTCTGTTAGTTGATAAATCACTAAATAAATACACTAAAGATCTGCTGCTGTTGCTTCAATCTCGCAGATGTCTCAGGTTTGTAGTCCGCTCTGCATCATCCAGAACCAAAACCAAACATGGAGAAGCAGCATTCAGTTGTTCTGCATCGGTGATGCAGAAAACTGCAATCCTGAGGAACACTGAGTTCCTTTAAATCAAAGCTAAAGCCCTCTGTTCAGAGCTACTTCTGATTAAAACAACTGGAACATCGATTAATTCTGGTCTGCGTTTCACCTTTTAATGACTTCTCTTTATTCTGCCACTTTAAAGCAAAGTTTAGTTTTTATGTGTCGGTTTTAAACTTTGAACCATCTTGTTGCTGATAACTGACTCGACTTGAACGTGTTTGAGAAATGTTTAACGTCTCGTTAATCAGTGGCAGGCAGGAGGAAAAGTTACAGTTTTACCATCTTTTCCACCAAACTTTGTAAAGCGAACTCGTCTCTGTGTGGTCAATAAAAACTGAACTGAAGAACTGTTTGGTTGTTAGCTAAAAAGTTTTATAGTTTTTTTTTCCATAAAGTTGATTTTTAAAACAAAAAAATAGCATCTGACTATAATTTGTAGCTTGTAATAGTAACACATTTCCCACCATTTATCTTGTAACTTCAGCTGACTTTAAATTTTCTGATCTATTCACATCTTTATGGTTTCACTCAGGCTGCTGCCCTCATTCATATTACTGCTGAGGCGCAAACATTGTACTGAAATACAAAAAAAAAATAGTTACAACAAAATGGAAAATATAAAAACAGAACAAAGGTAACATCTAAAATCAGAGACAGGAATCAGAAACATTAAAACTTTGACTAGGCCATGATTCTCACGCCGTTCTCCGTCGTTTATAACGGCGTTGAAGGAAAACACGAGAAGCTGCAGTACGCTTTCATGGCGTCGGATCCTGCAGAGGAACAAAACAATCAGCAAATCACTTTTCTCTACATTTTTAAATAAATACGGGTAAAAAACAGCTGGACTCACTGTGTCTCGGCTTTCCCTGTATCCTGCAGCAGAGGCAATGCTTCAGCGTCTGCTTCTCCTCCTGGACATATTTGAATGTTTGTAGTTGGCGACATTTTTTAATTTTGAGGAAACCTGAGAGAAATAAAAAGGAACAGTGATTTTGTTGAACTCCTTCTCAAAATGTATCATTTTTAAAGGAATGTTCCTGTGACCTCTGACCTCTTGAACAACAGGGCAACTTTACTCAACAAACATCAGCATCGGTTATGTAGAAAAAAACATTTCAGGTTTTTAAATTGATTTTTCCTTCATTTTGGTTGGGAAACAGTAACTGTATCAGATTTGATACAAAAAAAATTAGAAATCCAGATGAAATTTCAAATAAAAAAATATTTAAACCATTAAATAAAAAAAAACAGCTTTCAAGTATTTCTTGTGTCAGGATTAACGCTTTTAGATGTATTAACGATGCAATCAAAGTAATTAATTATTAATTTTGATGAATTTTACTCACCATTGTGATTTCCTTCACGAAGTTTAACCTGCTTTTCTTTATAATCTGTGGGTATCAGTGGGTAGGGACACTTTATTCTGCCAGGGGAAATCGCTGAAATGTAAAACATTTATATCAACACCTGCTCTGAAATCTACAAACATCTAAAAATAAACATTTCTTATGAAAAACAAACAGTGGTTACTCACTTGAGCATCTGCATCTTCGGATTTCACTGGTTGTAAATCCAGCAGAGTGAAATTCGTCACAATAAGCTGTAAAAAAAAAATCAATAAGTAGTCAAAGTAAAATGCTTTAAATAATGTTTTCAGTTGTTTTTACTAGAAAATTAGCTTTAGAAGTTATTTTTTCTCTTTCGGACGTACCCGTTTTGTCTGAAAAGCAATCGATCAGAGCAACGAGCAGCAGAGTCCATGCTATGATCTTAGCCATCGTCGCTCCAAACGGTTTGAATAAATCTGGAAATCTTCACTTTTATAGCATCAGAGCTTCCTGGTCCGTTTGGCTGCAGAGTCCTGGATAGGTCATGACACGTCTGATGAACCTTTATTTTGGGAACCGGGTTTATCTCTTCAGTTTGTTTGTTGAATGCGATGAACCTGCAGATAGTACAAACTCCTGCACAAACATGACTTAGTTCTGATGAACATCCATCAGTAAACAGGATGAAAGGCAGCAAACGTGTCTGCTAATAACATGACATTATCGCCGGAACAAACCTTCACTTTACTGAGCAAAAACAGGAGTTTCACCTCACAGGACGCAGAAATAACAGGTGAGAAGCTGCTCCAACACGGTGATCAAACCCTAAAATAGTTTGCTTTTAAAACACAAACACATGATCAGGTTTCTATTTTCAGTTTTTATCTAAATACATCCATTCCTCTACACCACGTGTGTCAAACTCAAGGCGCGTGGGCCAAATCCGGCCCACCATAGCTATTTATGTGGCCCGAAGATTCTAGACTAAACACTAAGTGAGCTTAAATATTATGTTATCAATCAATTTAATGCAGTTTTTAACAATTTACTTCCAAATTACATCAATAAATCCTCCCAGTTTCTTGGGAATTACCATGGAAATTCACACAAAATCAACAAATCCCTGCACTGTTTTCACTAATACATAATTGGGAGTTTATTGCAGATTTTTGTCAAAAACTTTCTTACTTGTACTAAACAGCTGCATCAGCCATAATTAATGTCAGACTATCTTCCACAATCTATACAGCGAGTAACAAAAAGTCGCATTTACCATCATAAACAAGCTCTAATATTTCCAAATTTGTACCACAAACACTTAGAATTTTATTGCAAAACATCACAAACCAATTGTGAAATTCTGGAGAGACTGAAAAGATGTTCAATAATAATTCTTTGATATTTTAACAGGTTGTGAACGAGTTTTATCAATACATTCTGGCACAACTGGCCCTTTAAGAACATTTGGTCCAAATCAAAACATGAGTATTGACAACTAAACTGTATTATTTTGAACGGATTTTGATGATGATGTGTTTTTCTGCAGGTGCTGCTGCTGTTTTTTACAAACTGTTTTATTTCAGTTTTCTGAGAAGCTGCGTTGCTACGTTGCTGTTGAGTGGCGCTACAAGATAACAGACAAATTAAAATGATCTTGCAATGTAAATTTTAGGTACAACACAAAATATTCATCTACATAACGACTCCAGTAACATCTAACTTTCATGGTAAATTACCACCACTGTTCACGTTAAACCTCTCCACCACTCTGTTACTGTTTGCTCACTGGCATTGCATCCATACCGTTTCTTTTCTCAGGCTCAGCGACCTCAGATGACCTTTCTCAGCTCGGTCTGCAGCTTATTGACAGCATCATCCCACTCAGTGGACCGACTTTAAGTTTGGGATCTGTGAACTCGGTTAGAGGCAGAAACCAGCAAAACCAACCAACTTCTGCTTCTGCTGACAAACACGTTTACATCCATCCATTATCGGACAAACGTCAGATAAATGTTTGTCTTTTAATGATTTATTTTTAACTGTTCTAAATATTCAACAGAAATGGCTTTGAAAAAGGGTTAGGGTTTGGCATTTTCATGGATTACTTGTTTCATAATAAACTGTCACAACATGGTGACAGATTAAAAAAAACATGTAAAAAGAAAAATATATATATATTTTATATTAAAATTACATACAGCAGCTTTAATGATATATCACAAGACAATTCTGCTTCTGGGTTCATGTCTAACCTCTGTAATCAAGTGTTTACGTCTGAAAATGAGGAAACTCTTTTAAAAGATCCCCAGAAAGACTAACGGTCCATTGATCAAGTGACATAAAGACGGGAAGTTTTCCATGACTAGTCAGCTCATTTGCATCTCTGTAAATGAGCTTGTGGTGTTGCGTAAAGTTCACCAACTTGTTGTGTGGTTGACAGTAGAGTCTGTCATTGGCTGGCCTCTGACTCACACTGTCATTATAAGGAGGCGTAGCGACGCAGCCTCTCCCTCCCACCGGGTGAGCCAGTCTGTAATCACAACTGTCCGCGCTGTGACGTTATTCACGACTCCACGGGAGGAAATCCCCACGGCAGAAAGAGAAAGAGACGGGAGGCCCCTTTAAATCGACGCATTTTCTTCCTCCTTGGTGGGGTGCCAAGTACGGTAGAGAGGCAGAGAAAAGACCGAGAGAGAGCTCCGATCAACAACAACACAGCCACGACTCTCAGCTGGCACATTTTCACCGATTCAGCTGTTTACGGCGACGTTTGGAAACCCAGGGTGAGCTAAAGCTGCTGTTTGTCTTCATTTATAGCGGATCTGGGAAGAGTTGTTTATAAAAATCGAACGGAAATTAAGTATTTCGACCCACAGATCGATGTGGAAATATGTTGTTTTTATGTTAGCTGTCAGTGTGACGCAGAGGAAATAATTTTACACCTGTTAGTAGTAATAATTACGGTTATTTCTGTTTTAAACATCGAGTAACTGTCAGTTTTATGACACACACGCCGCTCAACCGCCCCGGATTTAAATCTAACGGTCGATTCTGCTTCCATCAACAGGGTTTTAGGACTTTTCCAACTGTTATTACCAACATTTTGGTGTGTTTTATTTTCATTTTTTAGCCTCTACACGTTTCGGTGTTGAGAACCATTGCGGAAGTGGTGAGAGTCTCCTCGACGCGACAGCGATACGCTCTGGTCTGTGCTGACACCTGGCGGCCGAACCGGAGAACCGCAGCATGTACGGAGCTTCAGGAATCCCCGAGCTGATCCCACACAGCGGGCCGCCCCGGCAGCCCGGCCCGGCGGGTCAGTTCAACCCGGGACACCCGCAGGCAGACGGACACGACGGCGGGGCGAACCCCCAGAGGCTCGGACAGAGGGCCCCGAAACTGGGTCAGATCGGCCGGTCCAAAAAAGGTGAGAGAAACTTAAATTTGTTGTTTTATTTGTTTGTTTTCCGGCATTCATGCTGGTTATTTTATTGAACTCACTAGCAACATACTTTTTTACTCAAGTTAAAGTAAAGAGTAGATGTTTAAGAAATTAAAATTAAAATGTGTTTGGTAAAAAGGAAACTCAAGTACTGAATAACTGATCAAAACATCTTTTAATATTTAAAAATTACATGAAACTCAAATTTCAGGGGGAGGAGGGGTTCTAAAAAATATTGGGGGAAAAACTCAGCCAATAAACTCAATAGAGATATTGAGTCTATTTCTGTCAAAATATTATAGTTTTTTGACAGAAATTTACTGTTTTTCTACATAGTTATGTGGAAATGTTTATATTTTATAGATCAAAAATGAAAATAACTGTAAAATAACAAATCAGGCAAAATGTATATTTTTTACAAATACTTTTAATTCAATGTAAAACTAATAAAACTGTAACAAAAACTGCAGATGTGAATTTTCGGTTAAGGCGAGCTCATTGATTTAGCTTCAGTAGTGAATAACTGTAAAATGCTGCTTTGCTACTTTTTTTTCTGTCTACAACAGTAAAATAATTTCAGTTATACAGCGTGGTGCATACAGACATTATCCTGCTTTCTGTTTTTCAGCCAGATCTTTTATGCCATTTCAGTTATTATAGACTAATAATTTTTCATAAGCTTGATTTGTTTTTTGTTAGTTTTCTTTTTGGTTCTCTAGTTACAATAGATATAGATACACAATGCTCAAAATGGAGCATGACTCTTTGACCCTGAGCTATATAATCCAATAAAAAGACTGAGTTAGTAGCTAAAAAGAACATAAAAGGGTGGTAGATAATAATCTGTGTTTTGATAAAGAAACAGGCCCACAGCATCACCAATCCTCCGTCATACTTTACAGTTGCCATAAAAGGGCTTTCCCACAGATTTATTCCTTTTTTATGCCACCTGGAGTGTTTTGGTCCTGGGAAAAAAATGAAGGCATCTGCATAAAAAACCCAACATTCAGCAGAAAATGCGTCATAGGAATCAGAGTAAAAGTCCTGAGTTGCTGTGGAGCCAGCAGTTTTTTATCGCTGCGTTTCATCTGACTCTGCAACAGAGATGTTTCTATTTCTGAACTCACCTCATGCAAATGTGGTGAACGGAATGACGGAGACAGTTTTCCATTGAAACCTCCCAGGAAAAAAACATAAATCCAAACTGGGAATTAGCCAATTTTTGGTTTCTAAACGTCATACTGACCAAACTAGTCAAGTTCAAGAACAAGAAATTATTTTTAAAAAATCATGTTTTGTATGGTTTTGTACTTCCATTTTTGTCTCAGCTGCTTATAAAAACCAGGCCAAGTGCTTAACAAAACCTTGTTTTGGTAACAAGTTAATGTTTTTTTTTTTTTTTGGTGTCTGGAAAATGAGCTGTTTTAACTGTTAAGTTAAAATTAACTGGCACTGCACCGTTGCCTAGCAACCCCCAGCCAAGCCCAGCCTGTTGCCTAGCAACACAGGCAGAACTCCAGGATGTTTGATCAGCTGATTTTAAAGCTGTATGGATAATAAAAATAAAAAAACAGAGCACAAACCGGAGGAGACTGCAACATACTGAGGCGTACAGCACAGTTTAGCCAGAAGGTGGCGTCGCTTGGAGACGAACATTCACTGAGCGGATCACCAAAATATATCAGAAATGGTGAAAACTATGCAATTTTTAAGACCCATTTATAATGTATCCACTGCTTATAGTGTAGAGTGTCGTGTCCTGTTTTTATAGAGTTTCTGTCTGTTGGCTAGTTATTTAACTGTATTTGTTTTTGTGCTTAGTTGTTTTAGGGGAAAAGATTAAATATAGCTGCAGTTGTGCTAATTCCTCCATATTTGCACTGGCATAAATTGTGGTACTGTTGATTAACCTGCACTGTCCTAATCAAATAAATGTAATTAAATTACATTTAAAGTGATGAGGCTCAAAGTAGGCAGAACTGCAGAAACTAAAATCTCATTACCTTTGTGCAAAAAATGTAA